GACTTACAATTTAGGCCTATATAAGATTAACAAATAGGTTAGACCTAAAATATTTTATACTAGCGAAATTGGCCAGCAACCAGAGCTGTATGTATTATATGAACATAAAGCAATCGCATTCTTTGATTCAATTGCTGATCTTTTTAAGGCAAAGCTTAACCAGAGCTGTATGTATTATATGAACATAAAGCAATCGCATTCTTTGATTCAATTGCTGATCTTTTTAAGGCAAAGCCCAAGCCACTTCAACCTATTTAAACCTCTAGGTCGGTTCATTTGTAAATGGAAAAAAACAAAAGTAAAAGGAGTATGGGGAGGGTGGGGAAGAAAAAGACATGAGAGATTAAAATATTATGAAGGTGAAGGTTTTGTTGCCATTTGTTTAATTCGTCTCATTCAAAGCCCTTAAACCAATTAACTCACTCAATGCATTTGTTGAGTTCTTCTAAACCTCTTAATTTTTGTCCCCAATGTATCAACCACGGTCCCCATATCGTTTGACATTTAAAGGTTTATTCTTAAAAAAAAAAAAAAACTACATTTAAAGGTTTATTAAATACACACTTTTTTTTTTTTGAACAACTAAGAAACAACAGGAGTACATAAACGTGGGCTAGTAACACCCATAACGTCCCTTCTAAGCAAGGAGATACAGTCCTCGGGTGCCTCATTTAGACCTGTAAATTTCAATCGAAGAAGGAATACCCAATATTAGCTAACTTACCGGCAACCATATTGTCTTATCAGGTTTTCATTTTATCCTTTAACATAACACAATAAACTTTCTTACACTCACAATATTTTGTGAGGCCCACACTCTTTAAAACAAAAAAATAAATAAAAAATTAAGGCACGCAAAACGAATCTCTATAACATTACACAATCACTTTTCCTACAACATAACTCTTATAAAACCCTATCTGAATATATGACAGGGTTCGTTTGGATGAGTTTTTAAAAAAATAAATTTTTATGCATTTTTTTTTAAAAGAATTTTTTTAAAAGATAAAGTTATTTTACGTTTGAATGTCTGATCTCAAAATCACTTTTATATAAAAAAGTTATTTAGATGTTAAAATAAAAAAAAACACTTTTTATATATAAAATACAATAAAAGAGAAATAAAATAGCAAGATCGTGAGATAAGGAAAGATAAAATAAATATGATAGGATGAGATTAAAATTGTATTTTAAAAATTTATATTATCTTTTTTCTAAAAAAAATTATATTATCTTTTAAATTTTTGCTTTTTTCAAAAGCAACCAACTACTGGCTAAAAAAAAGTAGAATTTTAACTTTTATTTTAAATTTTACTTTTAAAAAAAATTATTATCCAAAAATTTAAAAAATTCTCAAAAAGGACTTTTATTTTTAAAAAAGGCAACTTTTTTAAAAATAAATGCCCATCTAAACAGGTATTTATCTTTGTCACTCCAATTCTATTAACCAGGGAAGCAAGAGGATGTTGTGTGTCAGAGCCTTTTTCAATGAGGAGAATAGCAACTAGAAAGCCACCTCTCTCCAATTCTATTAAATACACACTTTGACACCTTGTGCAAGCCCTCACTCACGGCCCACCCAATTTGTCATTCTCCTCACAAGAAACACTATCAAATCCACGGCTCCCACCATGTAAAACACTCAACTGGGTTTGAAGTTTGAACACATCATCTTCCATGCTCCACACTCGGCCTTGATAGCTTTTGCTTGAGTGCAACCTTGGACTGATCAGCTTTTATTAAATTTATGCCACTTTAATAATGTAAAAAATTATCTTTATGCGAATAGAATTCTCCTTTTGAAGTAAAAATAGAAAGCAAAAAAAACATAGAAAACGGAGATCAAACAATAATGCCCTTATGCAAGCCGTATATAGATACGCCCGAACCAGAACTTATTTTCTTTAATAATAATTTATGCCCAACTCTCTCTCTCTCTCTCTCACACACACTCACACTCTCTCTCTCACACACACACACATATATATATATAACAAGTTTTGCATTTTGTTTTAGACAAAAGAACTTATAAATTCCTTTTTAAATAAATTAAATTTGTTGACATTTTTACATTCAATAATAAAAGTTTGATTTTAATGAAAAAAGAAAGTACTTTTGTCTTATTTTAATGAATAGAGAGAACTTTAATATTCACTCCACTCATTATTATCAATTCGAAATTATTTAATTTATATTAAAATCATGTAATAATATTCAATTATTGAATATTTTATTTGAAATATTTTAATACAGAATTTATTATATATTATTTAACCAATTAATATGCAATCAAAATAACATTTTCAATTCCAATTTATATCTATATATAAAAAAATTTATTTTATATTTATTTAATTAAAAATCATATATATGTATTAAATATTATTACATATTTTAATAATTTTTTCCAATTAAAAATTTATAACAATGAGTACATTTAATAATAAAGCCATATTCTCTCTTCATTAAAATATGATAGAATTATTCTTTTTTTTCTTGTAAATCAAACTCTTTTATTCTTTTCTTCATTAAATGAGTAAAAGTGTAAATGACTAAAATATCAAAGTTTATTTTTCAAATTAAATTTACCAGTATTCTTGTTCAAAACATCACGTGATTCATGAAGGGTATATACAAGGAAGCACAGACACTTGTAAAAACAGGAAGAGTCGGGTCCGACACGCTCCGACACGGTGTCGGACACGCGGTTGACTTTTTCCGACACGCGAATTTGACCGTGTCGGACACGGTCAAATGGCATTTTCGTAATTTTTTTAATTTTTTTTAAATTTTTTTAAAAAATTTATTTTTTTTAAAAGTTAAAATATATTAATAAAGTTTCCACCTGATCATATTAATTTTATCTTTTTGTCTTTTTTCCCCTTTAAGTAGATAAGAGATCATCTCAGCATCATTGTTGTCAATTCCTATCACGCTCTTATTGTATCTTCTTCTCTCTGATCTCTCTCTAATATGATTTGATCTATCTATCTGATATTATATCTCTCTCTCATCCCAGTTCTTATTTATTTTATTAAAGCTTCCATCTTTATAACGTGTTGATGGGTATTACTAATTTAGTTTCATTTTTTTGTTAAATTATTAAATATTAAATGAAATATACCCTATATAAATTTAAAATATTATTTAATATTAAAACGTGTCCCAACGTGTCGAAATCCATAATTTTTTAGGATTGACGTGTCGGAGTGTCGTGTCGTGTCGTGTCACGTGTCGCGTGTCGTATCGGTGCTACATAGGGTATATATATATATATATGGGTTTTATAAGAGTTATGTTGTAGGAAAAATGATTGTGTAATATTATAGAGATTCGTTTTGCGTGCCGTAGTCTTTTTTTACTTCAAAAAGTGTGGGTCCCACAAAATATTGTGTGTGTAGAAAAATTTTTTGTATCATATTAAATGTTGAATGAAAGTCCCATATATATTCCATCTTAATATTCAAGGCATTCCGCTAAAGTCAAGTCAAGTCTCAAAGCCTTCAACTGATTGAATAAATTAAGAATGGGTTAATATAGAAAAAAAAATTATATGAAAATCTAGAAGAAAAGAAATACAGTGAAGATTTTGAAGAAATAAATAACATGAATATATACACATACTGCCTATAATATATTTTTATTTTATTTTCTTTTGGGTACAATACACTTCCTAGCTATAAGTTTTAGTCAATGGACGCTATTTATTACAAGTCAATGGACGCTATTTTTTTATTACAAGTCAATGGACAGAACCTTTTCTCTCATTTATTAAAATTGTCCTTTGCCATGGAAATTAAAGACTCTTCTATATATTTCCATGATTTTTTTTTTTTTTTTGTTTCTTTGAATTAAAAGATCTGGTCAGGGGTCCCTTTCCGTTAGCTGGAATTAAGAGATGGGAGGAAGAGAAAGTTGAAAAGTATTGAAAAGAGATCAATTTTTCCCCAGCCTTTAATGCAATAGATCTTGACTAGTTGAGCTACGCCATGACATTAAATTTATGAATTTTTTCATTTATGATATGTTTTCTCTTAGTTCATTTCAAACAATACGAAATTCATACTTGAATTACCAACAAGCTCGACGTGAACAATGCTTTATTTTAATGACAAGTTTGAGGCCGTGTACATGTCTCGAGGAGTAATTTTTGCTTTTGTTGATCGTTTCCATCCTTACTAGTTACTGTGTTTGTTGGGATATTTAAATACAGTGGAATCCATATTAGTTGATAATTATACGAACTTAATGAAAATTATATAGGTAGAACGGTCTATCAACCTAATTAATACTTTAAGATTTTGGATTTAGATTTCTTTAAGGTCATTTGTTATAATTGATGAAGCTTGGATTAATGATGGATCGATCTTGCCATGGCCCCTCCCGACGTGTGCCTAACGGTGTTGAATATCAAAAAGTTCATCTATGAATATTGAGACACACGTGCACTTAGAGCCCTTTAGCCCAGCATGCAAAACTTGCTTGGCTAGATCGAATTTTACCTGGCTGAACTCGGATTCAAGTAAAATATATACAAACCTATTAATTATTCATTGTGACAATCTTGCAGCAACTTAATTATTACCTAAGTCTTGATCCTGTTTTACGCAACAAAATTAAACATCTTAAGAGATTTTCATTAATTTAATCAAAATTCAAATGCAACAAGGCCTTCTGCATGCAAGTCTCTTATATTTCAACTCGAGATCAATTGGCGGCTACACTCAAAAACTAAAGACTCATTGCTCTTGACCAAAATTGGAATCTCCATTTACTGAAAAAAAAAAAAAAACAATAAAATCGGAATATCCAATATATTAGGTCTCCAATGTTGAGGTGCTTGTTAAGGACTTGTAATACAAGCAAAAGCTCATCTTTAAATTCAAATTACAATTTATCATTATACATAATCAGAACAAAAAATGAATATTCAAACTATATTTATTTTTTTTGAGATATTTCAATCGGTTCATTGCTTGGCGATTAGTCTGATTCAGAGCGGATGAACTACCATCGTTTGGTATATTCAAACTATATTTGATCTTTATCACTTGTAATTACAAAAAATAATAATAATAACAATAATAATTATACACAACCTACAATTTTTCCATGATTTGTATCGAAATGAAACTTCCCTTTACAGTTCAGGAATCATAGTACAATTCATCTAATTAAAACATAGCATAACCTATTGCAGCATTTATATCCATCTGTTGGAAACCTTTTCTAACTTGTGATAAGTCTCTCCTTGCCACATCAAACTTGGCTTCTGCAGCAGCAAGTTCTCCTCTCAGCTTCTTCATTTTAATCTCCAAACCAACCACATTGTCCTTTAGTTTCTTCATTTGCTGTGCTCTTTCCAAATGAGCTTTCACACCCAGTGCAGATTGAACATAAGGCTCAAGCCAAACCAAGTCCAAACCAGAGGACTTAATAAGTTCCTCCCACAAACCTCGAAGGTGATTACAATCATCTTCACTTATATCCTTCACCTTCTTGGTCTTAAGAAAATGCAAAACCTGTCCCAAAGATGTGAATGCCCATTGTCTGAACCACCGAGTTCTGTTTCTCTGGCTCTGCATCAAAGAAGGACGCCATGTACAAACCTCCTCCAATAGTGGAATGAAAGCTTTTTCTTCTGTGCTTAAACTCTCAAAATCTATGAGGTCTTTTAATGTTAAATCTGAACCTTGAATTTCACTCTCATTTGGACTAGATCCTGAGCTGGTAGGACTAAGTGTGTCCCTCTCTTCTGAGGATTCTGTTTCTTCAATTTGGTTCATGGGGTTGTCTCGAATCTTAGGAGCAAAATCAGAGACACAAATATGAGCTTCAATGATGCATGTGTTCCTCACAAGATACCCTTGTTTAATGTCAAGGAAATCACTTAGATTCACGAATAATGAACCCCAGCTACGACACCCTCCATTGAACTTTTGTTGAGTCTCTATGAAAATATCAAATATACATAAAAAATCAGCTTTAAATTATATAATAATAATAATAATATGATTATTTTCAGATTACAAATATCTCAAAATAGAATACACATGACAAAACCGACAAAGAGAACAAAAAAAGAAAAAGAAAAAAAGATTAAGAGTACTGGTTGCTACCTTTAACAATTGATTTCTTCTTATCCACCTGATTAATTAGAGCTAGCTTGAAAAACGTGTTTCTGCTCCATCCATATGGTGGTAAAGAATCAGCAACCACCAAATACAATGAAAAATGATTCACATCCTTCCTCAGTGGATACACAAGGATCCTCCTGTGACATCATGAAGAAACACAGCATAATTAAATTATTTACTTTCATAAAAATTACACAAAATTAAGGCCATTACTTTGTACTAATTATGTTATTATCTTAATTCACTCATCAAAACACATGATAAAAGTAAAATATGAGGTTCAAAAAACAGATAAAAAAAATAGGAATTCATATATATATAAACTTATAACTATTGCGCAATTTTTCAAGACCTAATTTCACTTATGTTAAATTCACTATATATATATATATATATAGAGAGAGAGAGAGAGAGAGAGAGAGAGAGAGAGAGAGATCAAGTTACCATGTACAACCGCGGATTTTGAAAGCCTTGGAGCGTAATTTCATGGCATTCTTTTTTGAGAAATCTTCAATTCTCCATGTGAATTTCTCAAAATCAGCACTTGGTGCAACCTGATTCACCATACTCTGGTAAAAAGAAAAAAAAATGAAAGAAATTATTTCTCCAAAAAGATAGAAAACAAAATAATTAACAAGAATGTTATGGAAAGTCCCAGATGTTGATATATACCTCCAAAGATCCTCTATAGGTTCGTTGCTGGCGCAGAGGAGTGAAAGAAAGGCATTATTCATGAGAGAATGTCATGTCATGAATTTAAGAACTTGAATGAGAGAGAGAGAGAGAAGTAGTGAATGCCAAAGAGGAATTATGAATATTAAATAATGGTATAGTAAAGTCAAGTCAACAAGATTCGTTAGGTGTAAGGAAGCAAGTTAGTATTTTTAATGTGTAGAAATTTCAAAATGATATCACAGTTACATAGAGCTGGGGGAGGCTATAATTAAGGTACAATTTTAGGTGAATGAAATTTCAAGGAAAGAACTTGGCGCAGATTTTGGAGTGTTGGAAATTCAAGTAGGGTGGAGGTAACATAATTAAACAATATTCTTTAAAAAATACTTGTACTATAGTCAGAATGAATCATGGCCAATAATATTATTAAAAACTAATTCAATTATTTTCAGGGAAGTTCTAACTGATATGATATTATCTAAAAAATAAAGCTGAAAATTGGCATGGAGTATGCATCTCAAGTTTGATTTTCATATTAAATTTTAAGAACAAGTCAACATGTTTGGCAATTCAACGCCTAAGTAAGTTTGGATCTTAATTTTATATTCTCTTTAATAAAATTTATCACATGAATCCATTGTTATATATGATCTTATCAATATATTTTTTTGGAAATATTCTATTGGTTCATCGCTTCATGACTAGTTTGATTTGGAGCTGGTGCATGATTAAGGTTTTAAACTCCTTCTAAAGGTGATATTGAAGAAGATCGAACACATACTCTCATCTTCATATGCTCAGCTCTCATGCACCAATTACTGAACTACGTACATTTAGGGCATGTTTGGTACATAGTATAGGATAAGACTTGATAGTATAAGACCTGATAGTATAAGGCATGATTGTATAAGACCTAATTGAATTTTAATACTATCTAGCGTTTGACATGATATTGTATAAGAGAATACATTGTATAAGATAATATCATCCAATGTTTGGTAATACACTGTATAATACTAGATAGGTTAAAAATAAATATTTTTGTCAAAAATACCTTTTAATAATAAATTTATATAATTCTTCCAAATATATCGGATGATATTATTTTTTATAGAAATATATTGATTAGTGTGTCCAAAAAATATATTAGTTTTTATAAAAATAAAAATCTCCAATATTTTAAAAAATTATATATTGAAAAATTATTTTTTATTTTAATATAGGTTAATATATCAACTCCTTATCAGACCTAATCCTACTCTCCTAGGCCTGATTAAGTTATGCACTATTTAGATGTATAAAGTGATTATGTTGTATAAGTTTATATTATACGATGGTCATACCAAATAACTAAAAATATTATAACATGTAATATATATACTATCAGACCTTATACATCACACCAAACACGCTCTTTAGTATCTTATCAATATTTTAGTAGCGACCTTCTCTATCACCTAAAATTTGATGTCGAAATGAACTGACGTGATTGTTTTATTTTATATACATTTCGTCTTTTACTTGATCTGGGCTAGTTACGAGTTAAACGGCCTATAGTTATTATTGTTTTTTCTCTCGATAAATCACAAGTATTCTCTATGAAAATTAATTATGTTCGAGCCAGAAATATTAGAAGTGTAAATAAGTTAGGTTAAATTAGGCTTTGTCTCAAGATGTTAGGTTTGTGTAAAATACTTTAGGTCTGACCCGGTCTATTAGCCTTATATAGTCCCAAATCTGATCTGACCTATATTTTAAAAAATAAAAAATCTTGACCTAGGTCTGTTAGCCTATTAAGCATTCCATAATTAAAAAAATAATTATTATTATTAAAAATCATTAAAATATAAATTTATTTATTTTATTTAAAATAAATAATATGATATAAGCCGGTCTGTAGATTTATTATCCACATATAAAAAGAAAGTCTGTGGTCTATTTTTCTAAATAGGCTTTTTTTTAGGCGTATATCTATTCTATTGGACTATTTATAATAGCTCAAATAATATAAAATATTAAAAAAATCATCACCTAACACCTTAAGGTTTTAGGTTGAATTAGTTCTTAACATAGTATTAGAGTTTCAGTGACAATGAAGTCACAGGTTCGATTCTCACTGCCCCCCACTTTCAGGTGGAATTAAGAAAAGTACAACGGCAGACGAAAAAAATGGGTTTGTGCAGCACAAGGCAGACCAACAATGGGCTTGTGCCATATCCGCGCGCGTGAGGCAGTGTGTTAGAGAATAATATAAAATATTAAAAAAGACCATCACCTAACACCTTAAGGGCCTTTTGGAGTACCTGATAAAGAAGATAGGATAGGATAATTTATCATATCCTACGTTTATCTCTTGTTTGGTGGGTCAATAGGATATGATTAGCTTATCCTATTGTCTCATTTTATCCTATCCAATACATGATTTCTTATCCTGTGGGGGGAGCTGGGTTAGGATTCAACAGGATAAGATACCAATATATCCCCACGCCACCCAATATATTTGTATTTATTGCATTATATTTTGTTTTTTCTTTCTCATTTCTCATTCTACATAATCGTATCAGATTGCTAATCAGGTGTTAATCAGGTGCTCATCAAACACAAGACATGATATAGGCTTATCAGCCCCATATCATATCCTACTATTTGTTAGGAATGTGGCTTCTATACTCAAGAGGGGGGTGAATTGAGTATTACAAGATTTTCGCAAAAGCCCTCTTCTAGTTTCTAAATAATCACTTCATGTAAACTTTGATATGTGGAAAGCTAATTAATATATTCAGACAATCCATAATATATAATATATCACAATTATAGAACTTATAGTAGTATATACAAGATATCAAAGAAGCAATTAAAGTGTTAGAAATAAAGAGTTTAGAGTTTAGAGAATTGCAAACTCAATATATCCTGGTTCGGTCACCACCACTTGTGACCTACGTCCAGACTGAAGCCGCTCGATCAACTCTTTCACTAATGGTCAAGCTTCACGGGTGCTTGACAAACTTTTACAATCTTCCAAGACTTCAGGTTCTTGGATACCTTTCAATCTTCAAGTTTACGGGTACTTGGTAACCTTACAATTCAATCTAAATTTACTTAGGTATTTGGCCACCTCTCAAACAATGGGTCTCACAACCCTTTCAACTCAAGAATACAAGGAAGGAAATATTTAGAAATGAATATACACTCTCAAAGTGTGGATATACAACTTGAAGCACTATGAGTATATGGATTTTCAAGATATGAGCACAAATATGTTTGATCTTTGAAAGATATAAAAAAATATGCAAATGATAGTGTAGAAGCTCTCAAAGTATACTTAATATGTGTAGAAATTATGTCCAATGTTTTTGAGTCATTGGGAATGCATATATAGTGTTTTCATTGAAAACTAGCCCTTTATATCCGTTGGGATCTCATTTGAAAACTAGCCGTTTATAGCCGTTGGGATCTCATTTGAAAAACTAGTCGTTTTATAGCTGTTTATAGCCGTTGGGATCACTTTTGAAAACTAGCTGTTTTATAGCCATTGGGATCTATTTCCCAACTTGACAGCAACAACATTGTTTCGTATTTTGACTATAATTTGAGTTATACATGTCGGCTTGATGTGATCTTGGTCTCGTTGGAAAGATAAAAGATAGATCTACAACTTTTATGAAGAACACAAGATCCAAATCCATCATCTTAGATACGAAAAATTGTATGGAAGACAGAAGCGAAATTAAGCAACAAATTTTAAGTTCAAATGTGTTCTAGCTTGCTCCCAACTACTTTTTGTGAAAGATCTTGACTTGATAAATATGTTTTGAAGTTATAAAATATGTCAAGGATCTTTTCCATGAATTTTTCAAATTTCTTTCAAGTATATAAAGTTTATGATTATGCAATTTGAAAAACACGTTTAATTTGAGAAAAACTTTGAGCTCATGCAATGCAATCTATCATATACCCTCACATATATTCTAAGTCCTAAAGATATATTCTAAATATGATTTTAGACTTAGCTTCATGTCTTGTGTCTTGGATCTTTACCTGAACTTGAGGTTTTGACTTGTTGAATATGACAATACTTGACACTTTGTTGGTTTTGATCATTTGTCACCATGGTTATGATATTGAGCTTCTCTTAGATGTTGTTCATGGTTAGTTGTCTTTGATCTTGATGTTGCTCTTCTAATTATTCCTTGTTACTCTTGATCCAATGATCTTGCCACTTTGATATGACATCACTCTTCTTGTGTGGCTACATCATACATCTTAAATATCCACATATGGTTGATGTTTTTTGCTCTTGATCAATACTCTTATCTTTTTGTTTGTTGCCACTTTGTTATCATCAAAACATACCTTGTATTTACAATCTCCCCCTTTTTTATGATGACAAACTTAAAATTGAGTGAGGGTTAGTGTAACAAATATTTCCAAATAATGTATATCATGCTCCTTCTCAATTTATGAATGATTTAAATCAACATATATGTTTATGGTGGAAGAATGTAATTTTCTCAATTTTCATATTTGTCTCCCCCTTTTGGCAACATCAAAAAGCATAAATCAAGATAAGCACACAAACTTGTGAGCAATAAAATTCCATTGAGCATGTTAATAAAGAACATTTGTTATTTAGCAACAAAATAATGATATCAAAGCAACTATCAAAGCCCCCCCTTAATCCATGAATGGTTTCAATGAAAAAAGTATGGAAATTCTAGGGTCAACAAACCTCATTTTTACCTTTTTAGTGCATTCTCCCTCTTTCATCTTTGATTTTACCTTTTTGCCACATGTTAGGTAGAAGTGTATTATATTTTCTCAATTAGCACTTACTCTCCTTCTTAGGCAACATCAATGGCATTGAATAGTTCAAGATATATAACAAAGCATTCAAATGATTCAAGTAAGTGCAAATATGCCATGGAAGTGGATTTAAACCTCGAAGTGGTCAATATATCATAAATCCAACACAAACGATCCATACAAGTCAAGATGCTCAATATGAGCATATAATCCAAGTATATAGCCAAATTGCCATAATATCTAGGAAATAAAATCAATAAAGCAAGAGATATCAAAACAAATGATTGCTCTGATTTTTTCTAGCGTAGAAGTATATGTGCAAATTGTGGGC